TAATTGTACATAATTATTACAATCATCTGGTCCACAACTATAGGTGCATTCATGGTCCTTTTCTGACAAACGCTACATTGAGTAAATTCTTTTTTTGCTTTTGGCCTTTTTGGCCAACTCTCAGAATTAATCTTCTAAAAGCATATCTAAAAATAAGCATGCCACATTTTAAATGTAACACTGATTGAAATTTCCTCTGCTAAGTCGTTTAGTCCATTACTTTTGAATTCAGCCTTATATTTTAAGGAAATAATTAGAATATAAGCAGATACTCTACCAGATTATAATATGAAATGATCTCATGCTCAATTTCTAATAGAATCTTTGTACTCTTTGAAACCTATGTGCAGTCTTTACTGTCCACCTTTCTGTTGGCATTCTTGGCTTCTGGACTCTCAACAGAGCAGCCCATTAAGCTCTGCTTGCAGTACTCTAGGGATCAGGTACCTGCATCTTCAAACTCTTCCACATTTTTCCTGTAATCCAGGTTCAGTTATACAGTTTTAGGGACAGCTGCAGCCATAGTCCAAGGGGACCCAGCAACTTCCAGAACTGGAGGTAGAACTTGATCTCATCCGTGGGGTGCCCGTTCTGCAGGTGTGAAGAATGGAAGAGTTGTGGGGTCATGGGTTTATACCAAGGTTTTGAGAAAAGCCTTAGAGGCCGGGCAGTGTGCAGCGGGGCTGTATTCCTTGTCGGGAGCCAGTGAGCCAACTACAAGTGAAGCTCTGAGAGAGAAGCCTAAGTAGCAGTTGTGCCTCAGAATTCTGTGGATGTCAGGAATGTGGGGCTGGTCTGCTCTTCGTCTGACCTTCAGTCAGAGCCTCTGTTCTTGTGCTCCTCTGCCCCGAACTTCATCATGTTCCTCCTAAGAGACTGGCAGGGCAAATTTAGTAAACATGATTGCCACATTGTTTCAATCTGAAATAACAAATGGAATGTAGCTAAGTTTTATTTCTTTCAAAATATGCCTTTTTGAGTTTGAATATTCACTACTCAGATCATCCGTTCAGTTTTCTGAACTGTAACTTGTATTTGTGCTATGCCTGTACATCTATAAAGAATGTCCCCTACAGGAGGGATGCCTTCCAAATTAAAGGGAGAATTTTATTTTCTAATTATCAATGAAGGAAATCACCTGTCTTGTGGGTGTGTCTTTTGTGTTTTAATTTGATTAATGTATGTTTTGAGTATTAAGCCTATGATGCTTTCCTATCCTCTGGAGTGTTTTGTTCTAATTGTTGAGTTTATACTTAAAGCACTGTAGTGGTTTGAATGCAAAGGACCCATAGGCTCAGGTATTTGAACACTTGGTGTTGGTGACACTGGGGAGGTTATGGGAAGGTGCAGCCTTGCTGGGGGAAGTGCCTCACTGGGGGTAGACTTTGAGGGTTTATAGCATTGCCCTGCTTCTCGTTCAATCTCTCAGTTCTCTGTGTGAGGTTGGAGATGTGGCAGCTCAGCTTCCTGCCACACCGCCATGCCTGCTGCCTGCTGCTGTGCTTCCC